GCTTGGTGCGGCCTCGGCCTCGGCTCGGCCTCCCACCGGGTCGGCTCTGGCGGGTTTCCCGTGGTGCCTCCCAGGCTGCACCGCGCTCACGCTGCCAGGTCACGGCCACGGAGACCAGCCCCGGCCCGGCTCCGGTCAGGACCTCCTCGGCCAGCGCAGACGCACGAGGCAGGGACAGTCCCACTCCTTCTCCCCGAGCGCTGCCTCGTTCAGACACTACAGCAGGATACAGCGGCGCGTCCCCGTGACCCTCCACCCCCTCGGGGCTGCCTGGGTCTCCACCGCCAAAGGCCGACAGAGAGCAAAGAGACAGGTTTATGGCCCAGGCTTTTATTGCTCACACCTACAAGCACGAAAAGAAAGGCTCGTCGCCGTGCCCATCTCGCTGCCCACAGCGGTGGAATAGAGATTGCCCCTCTCCGAGCTCGGGACACGCAGGAGGGTGGCACGCAGACTGGCGGCAGGGCATCTCCAACGTGCTGGGGTCTCCGAAATTCCCTGCCCAGTCGACACCCAACATTCCTGTGTGGCCCGTTGTATTAAATATGCACTGACTGCCTTCACTGCGATGTCTTAAACCAGCTTCCTTGGGGCCCGGGTGAGGCCCCCGGTTCCAGCAGGGTTGACTTCTTCTCTCCTCCCACCACGTCTGGGGACATGTGCAAGCAGGGGCTCGAGGTGATAACCGGGGCAATTCTGTTGTTTTGTCGCACCGTCGGTGGTGGTGCAGGGGGGCCTGGCTCTGCGGATCTGCGTGCCCGCGGTTTGGGGATCCTAGGCTGCTAGCTGACTACGCGCAATTCAGTTCTTACCGCAAAGCAGAACACCGGCTGTTACTCTTAACTGCTACTAGTGATGCCCAAAAGCACTTCTTTGAACTTGTCTTAACCTATTCTGAGTGAGCCTGCTTTACAGATGCTTATTCTACGGTCCCAGGCTACTGCGTGTGGCTTCCCTGGGAGAACAGTGGCCTACCCCAGGGCCGCCTTACAGATCCACCGGTGCTGCAGGGTGCAGTTGGCATCGTTCCATGTTTCATAA